ATAGTTCTAAGTAAAAGGTATATAAACCCCTCTGTTATTAAGGAAGCCTTGCTACACTACCATAATATCGCATTTTTAGTATTTTAACTCGTTCATTGTTCTGAAAAAATAAAATGCAAAGTGTTCTTATTGCCCCTTAAGTGTCATAGCTGATATATTTATAAAACTTCCTATGTGCATAAAAGTGTAAATATGCTTTCTTGTACAGAAAACTGTTAGATGCTTTCAAAGGCAATGGGCAAAATATCTGGCCCAACATATCCATTTACTCAGGACAACGATTTCACTTCGTACAATGAACAACAAATCACAAAGTCATTTGCAACTGCAACAAAAAAAATCCTTGACAAAAGGATGTTTTGATTTGTAGGCCTAGTTCTGAATTGCTAGTAAAACTAAGTTCTCCAAAGATACAATATGAGCTTTATTAAACTGAAGATTTATTAACTTTGACTTATTAGAGGACTTCAGTTGCAATTGTTTGTGAAAGTCATTATATTCAGAGAGGACAGTGTGATTGATACATACACATGGCATAAGCAATGAACACTAGGCTGCCTGCTGAAGAAGGATAGTAATCCTAGGGATTAACTGGCAATAGAAGATTTTTTTGAAGTTGTTGTCTATCATAGACACATGGGAAAAAATGTTATTTTCTACAATTTTCCTTCTTCAAACAAGCAGATTGGAATCAGCTACCAGAATCAGCTTCCAAAACCAGCGCAGCCAGTATCTGCTACCATCAGACCAAGCAGAGGAAAGATGAGGAGGACTTGTTCTTTTCCACCAACAGTGGTGTTTTGGACCCCAGCTTTCACTTAAACCAGTCTGGATCTGGCCCTTCTCCTTCTTTAATTCTATCTGTGAAAATTTATCTCCTTTTCTAGTGGTTTACGGGTCTCTCCATTCCCCCTCTCCACTTTCTTCTTTGTCTTTGCTCTTTTCACCATTCACCTCACCTGTTGCCTGCTGCTGACACAAGGCAAGGCAAACAGAGACAATTCATTTAAAAGGTGGAGTTGTCTGCCCTGGGGAAAGAAACACTGCATATGGAGCAAAAGTAAGTAGCTCTGCATGATGATACTAGAGGCTCAGCACTGGTTGCTAGTACTGAGAAAAACAAAGGAAATGCCAAACTAGGCTGATTCGGCTCGGAACAAAAAAGAAATGTGATTCTAGGAGGTACCAGGAGATATATCCTGACTAGAGCTGGTAAGTATTAGTGCCAGTGTACAAAGCCTCACATAATGGACAGCATACAAGACTGAAATTTTGGAGAAAAACAACCAGGTAAAGCCGTCTGGGCAGAGGAAAGCAGCAAAGCAACGACAGTACACACATTCTGCAGCTATACTGGCCTTTGCGGCTCCTGGTACAGCTTGTTCAGAGCAAGCTCAAGTATCCCCACATGGCACTGCATCATTTATCCTACTGTTAAGTCAATGTAAACTCATGATCACTTGATCCAAGAATATTTTGTACAATCCGCTTTTGCATAATTTCTTTGCTACTTAGTCATTTCAAGGCTAAAAAAGGCTTTCATTCTGCATTAAATGCCTTGTTGGACCCCACATCTGTCACTCACACAGTAAACTACAGAGATAGTCTCCACCCCCTCTGTCAATTTACTAATTTAGGAACTAAGCCATCCCTTGTTATTTTTTATGCTAATTTTTCCTTTGTTTTCAGTACAAGTGAGGTCAGTTCTTTATGGTTTAATTTTGAAGATACTCAAGCAAGTACAAGTTGCAGCAACACAAGTTAACATCACTTATGTGTGTTAAGCTGTTTGCACTCACACCACTGATCAATTAAAGCAACTTTCTGTCCAAATCCTAGGCAGAATTTGACAGGTATTTTTGCAGTGATTCATACATCCCCAAGAGGAGCAAACATTCCCTCTGAAAATAAGTTGCTAAAAAAAGCCTGTGTTTTCCTGATATGTACGCCTGGCTTGCCTTTTCTGCGCCTCATGATTTTCTTTATGTGTCTACTCAACCAACACAGCAGATCTCTAGACTTTGTACAGATATAGTGTTATTTTTCTTCCTTAGCATACAACAAAAGTGTAACTGACTTGGACACAAGCCCAAAACCTGCCGGGACTATTTTATATGCAGGCAGTAGTGCTGGTGCATATACATCTTTCAGTGCACAGAACTATGCCAGTTAGGAAAGCAAGAGGATACAAAGGAGGAACAAAAGATCCCAAGACCTTCCTTGTGGTCCAGTACCATATACTGCTCTTCTCTTTTTTCCTTTTTTGTTACTTATAATTGAGTAAAACATGATATAGTAACTAGAAAAAGTTAAATGGTACAGCAGTCATTTACAGACCTGTATATGGATCATGAAAGGGACCAACACAAAGGGGTTACTATCTCTAAACCTATTCATTCACTTTGTCATCTAGAAGGAAGCATTTTACCGCTATCTTACGAATCAAGCAGAAGCACTGTAATTTCTAGCCAACACGTTAATTTATCAAGGCAGACATTGCAGTTGCCAACAGTGTAAACAAAAGATATAGCATATCTGTTACACAGAAGCTGCAGAGCAGACACAGGAGGTACTTTTCTTAGACATCTCTAAGAGCAGTGTCAAGACTGAGCAAGCACTTTCATGCTGAATTTTCTGTTCTCATGTTTAGTGAACTTTATCTTGTGGGGGCCTTTGGTCCAGCTTTCCTCTGTTTTTCACTCTGTATTTTCACTTGTACTGTAGCTATAGCACAGCTGTTACATTGCTCTCCTCTGCCTGGGCTGGCTACAAAATTATACCATTCCCATCACAAAGGGTTACATATCTATTCATAACAGTGGTGAAGATGACACAGGGTCAATGCAAAGAAGAATCAGGCTCCCCATACATGATTTTATTTGAGAGAGATATATTTCTGGTAGTCTTAAGGAAATCCATTTCAGCTGTTGTCTGAATTAACCAAGGCATGAAAACACACTTTTCACAACTTACAAAAATTCTTTAGCTGTTTCACATACTTTTAAGGCAATCCAAAGGCAGCTTTACAGCTGTCACATGTGTAATACTGCATGAGTTCACTCGATGTTCAGAAGTCAAATTAAGGTGGGCATACTCAAAAGAATAAATTTTGTCTAAAAAGACTCTTTTTCTCTCCTATTTGGAAGCTCCCAAGACATTTCTTGTTTGTAAATACATCACTGTTTATATTGCCGTTCATCCTGGCTGTGAAGTCACTGGATAACCCCGAAGCAGAATGATCACAGATAAAAAAGCAACTGTGAAGTCCCACTACGGTTTTGCTACTATAAGCCAGTTTTCAGAAAGCTTCGGTCTTTCAAAAAGAGTAACTACTGTGTAGAAGAGCACAGACTAATTGAGGAAGATCTGTAAGAACAGTGGTAAAGGCATTCCAGAGAGCTATACCCCAAAACTACACAGCAGTCACTAGTAACCCAGTGTGAGTACTGAAGGCTTTCAGATGAAAGAATTTACTTGATATTATAGTTGATCATTATGTTTCTTGAGATATTGAGTTTACACATACTCTGAAGAAGCGAGGAATCTTTATTCTGGCACAACAGAGCCTAGTATCATTTTCCCAAAGCAATCATCTGCTTCAACTTTGCATCTTATTAGACCTTAAAATGAATGGCATAAAATATCCACATAATAATGCAGCTGATGCTCACACAGATCCAGGATCTGTAACTTACGGAAGTTAAAGGTAAGAGAGCTGAACTGAGCTAGTCTAGTCTTACCTACTTTCAATAACTGAACAGAGCTTGTCCCCGTCACTGAGCACAGAGAATAAAAGCTTTCACAGAAGCAGATGCTTCTGAAAAATCATGTAGTTCTTATAGGTGAGCTATGACTAACAAACATGCAAATAAATTTCATTACAATCTTTTCACCGCTCTGCTTCTCTTTGGAGCTAGAATATTTTAAAATATTAATATTAAACTATTCAATACTTAGTGTCAGTATTTATTTTAGATAGAATATAAAACAGTAAATCATGTTATTCAACTCTGAAGCTTTTAATGCCTATCTCTTAAAATATGTAAATATTTTCTATTTGTTATGACTAAGATACTGTTTTCAGTTCAAGGTCTTTTCAGAGGACAATGAATTTCCCAAAATACTGACCTCAGCAACCCAGAAAATTATTCTTTTTAAGTATTATATAAAGAGCATCTATTACAATCTATGCTATGTTCTGTTAAGATATTCAGCAAACACTACTGACTTTTATGGTGTGATTACTGAGATGTGACACTGCTATGTTTTGATTTACTGTTTAAAAGAAAGTTACCTAAATACTTTCTGCAAATTCAGATTTAGTAGTCATTGCGTACACAATCCTAGCATGGCCCTTCCTGATGTACTGCAGTAACAGAAATTGAGATGTGACAAGATCTTTATTTATATTTCCTTTTGGAGGTACCGATAGGGAGAGAGGAAAAAGGAGGGAGTTGCTTTGTATTATGCTATATGATTTGAGAAATACAGCCATGTGTTGCTTTTTCCGGGGCAGTACAATCACAGAATCAGAATCTTAAGTGCACCTCAATCATTTTCAGGAAGAGACTCAAACCAGCAGTGACTTGAGCACTGCAGCTAATGAATTAAGTTTTGCAACTGCCCCTAAGCAACCAAATTCTGTATGCAAAGCTGTTCAAACTATTTATACACCCTTGTCTTCACAGAATGTATACCCTTGATTTTTTTTAAAAAAATATCAAGTTTCATACTTAGCTGGTACAGGCAACTGGCACTTTTGTGCAATTTTATATGCCACCTAGCCTTTATAAGATGTTGTAGATAACACTTAAAAATATTTAGTAACATCAAGAGGGGTTGCATGTTGGTTGCTAAGCCCCATTCCTTGACTAGGATCTTCTACAGGCAAAGAATCAACTCTCACACAATTTCTTTCTGGTTATGAGACTAACCCACATTTTGTCATCATCATGTACAGCAAAACATCCACAGCATTCTATCAGTGAAACAAAACACACACAAACCTCTTTAAGGGTCCCACACAGAGCTTCTTGTATGTTACCTTGTACACGGAAGCTGGTAACTGATGGCAAAGCACTCAATCTTTCCACCTCACGCTGGGTAATGTCTCTTTACGAGCCGTGGGTGGCAGCAGTGTCCACACCGCCTGCACATTCCAGCCAGGACACTGTTTTGGGTCACAGGTCCACACAGCGAACAGGAACCATCCTCACGCACACAAACCTATAAAGCGCCCCAGCTCGGACTGCCATCATGGAATAAAGCTGTATTCATTTCCTTGATCATCTTCCTTGGGTCTCGTCTTTCAGTACAAAGGATGCAATCCAAAGACTTTATTAATGAATATACAAACACACATTCTTAAATAAACAGGAGTTTATGCTGCATATACAGATGGAGAAACAGAAAATACTGACTGAATCAGGAAGCAGTTTAACAATTCGGTTCATGCAGAACGCATAACAGGTGTCACTGTTGTCACAATTTCAGCAATATTTCACTCGCTGAACCAGCAGAAGCACTTTCAAATTTTAGCCCATAAATCCAGACTGTCCCAAGACAATTCTGCGTTGAAACTGTCAACCTTTGTATCTCACTGTCTTCCCTCCTAAATCAGATTTTGCTACCTTTCAGAAAACTACCTTAGTAATATTCCACTTTCAGTAACAAACCAAAAAAATTAAAAGTCATGCTGGCCTACTGTGTCCTTCCTACTCCTAGAACTGAACTTTGTGACCGACACAAACACACCCTTCCTCCACTCCTCCCTGCACAGGCTGTGACATAACCTACTGCTGCTATGCCTTTTGCAAACTCCAAGCATATCCTAAGAATAAATAACAAAAGCCCTTCTAGCTACCCTCTACCAAGATATTTCCTGTCGCTCTGTATTAGTGCAAGCAGGCTGATGCATGTCACAGATTTTAGCCTCATTTTTACCCCTGCTAATTACTGAACTTTTAAGAGCTTCCTTCCAACACTTCTCCAGCATTGCCTCTGATAACAGGGGATAAGTATTTCATACGCAGTAGCTCTGACTGCTACTCACCCCCCTTTTTTCTCAGCAGACCTATCCCAGCCATCTATTTCAAGGGCAAAAACTAGGAAAAAAGTTCTTCCTATCCACCATCGCCTGAGAACAGCCCGTCTTCCTTTCCTTGGAAAAACAGAAGAGCAGCAGCACTACGCAAATCCTAGACCAAAGGTGCGGCCACGCTTCCTCCACCGGGGTGAGCAGAAACGTGCACGTTTTCGGCCGAAAACGCTCACCAAGCTCCATTCTGAGAAAAAGCAAGCACGGAGGACGAGAATCGCT